TCTCTCTCTCTCTTTCTTTCTTTCTCTCTCTCTCTCTTTCCCTCTGTCTGTTTTTCTCTCCCTGTCTCCCTCCCTGTCTATCTCTCTCCCTCTCTCACACTTTCTCTTATGTACGTGTCTGCGTATGTAGGTTTCGTATTTTCGATGAGCGTGCTAAATAGCCACACTGCGCTCTTTCAAGGCCAGCTTTAGATTTCAAAGGTCTGTGCTTTGCACCCGAGTAGCGTGATAGTTTGAGGTTACATCACTTTGACTACCGCCAAAGATCTTCCGTATTTCAACCGAAGTCAAGTATCCACTGACAAGACAACCGGAAATAAAGACTTAGACTTAGTCACTTTGCGGAGATTACACTTAGACCAAGAGCCCTAAAGCGATGGACAATGACATGAATCTCTCAAGAGCAACTTCAGGTTATCTCGTGGTTAATGATGTCATAAAAATGGGAGGTTTTCGTCACGTTTATTGTTTTTGAGGTCTAGTCTTTGAAAAAGGGACGTGAGAATGGAGACAGGAGAGTCTGAAGAGTATGAACGTGCGGACAATTTTTTGGGGGGTGATTGCCGGGTGCTTTAATGTGATTTGCTATTTCTTTTCTATTAAACATCTTTTTTCCCCTTTTTTAATCCCCTGCCCATTTATAGGAGATTGACACCATCTGATTAGTCGAAAAAAGTGTGTACGGTAGTGTGCAATTATGTATTACGTGCATACTTAAGCAGACCGGACCCATAGTTCCCGTAAGGGTGTCATGTGATTTCAGCTCTTGACTTTTTATGTACGTGAAGTCACATTTTTTCCTCTTCTCTCTGTCCTGTTCTCGTAAGAAATGGATATTGATAAAAGTCTCCTTGGCCCTTGGTATAGAAGTGCCGATTTTACGGATCAGTCTGGAAATCCGGATTTCTGAAATTGAACCGATTTCTGTAAAGTATTCCTGCTTATACATTTTATTTACTTTTTAAATCTTTGTGATAATACACTTTTAATAAAGTGGTCTAGATGCAAGATATATCAGACAAATGATTCATAAACATGAGTCCCCGTTTGTACTTTTACACGAGGTCCGAAAAACGCAGATATTTTTTTCGTAGCCTGTTGGCATCTGATTGTATTTATGTGGACAGAAAGTTGGATGCAGGTGTATTTTTGAAAGCAATTTTCATTTGGTGCCACCTTTCATTCATGTTTAGCAGCCAATGTGGTCTTCAGGTCTTTTAGTCTGCAAGCAAAAGAGTTGGGTTCGATTCCCCATAGGAAGTAATAGGCTCTATTTCGTGTCCCAATTAGGATTTTGTTGATGAAGGTATATCTATGACGATTTATCGAACCATTAAGTAATCATTCAATGAATGAGTCAATCAATCCATCAATCAATTTCATAGACAAAGAAGGGGCAAAAATTAGTTGGGTTTCTTTTATTACGAAGATTTAGTTTTTCATTTATTAGGAGTTCCTGGTTTGTATCAACAGATTGGACTCTCTAGCTTTTTATAGCCCCTTAATGATCTCTGTCTGTCTGTCTGTCTGTCTGTCTGTCTGTCTGTCTGTCTGTCTGTCTGTCT